AGTAAAAAGACAGTCGGGTGACGATTTTGCCTGCTCTGTGGACCATCTTTGATTATTTGGTGACTGTGTTCATTTTTGTCTGCCAACGTCCGCCTGCAGGAGGACGTGCCCGACCGAATTCGAAGGTTCCTCGCTGGCGTTGAGCCTCTGGGGCCCTCCCTGGGCCCCGGGATTTGCCAGACAAGACGGCGCGGGCGAGGAGCTATCGGGGGCGGAAGAGAGGGGGGTGATGACTAGGGGGGGGTGGATATCATGGCGGGGGCCATGATATCTCCCCAGATTTCATGGCGCCTCTTCCCATCTGACTACGTCCCTGGCCCCCCGCTGGGCCGCGCACATGCCGCCGGCCATGATTTGCACCCCCCCTTCTTGGACACCCCCCTCTTGGCCGCTCCCGAAGCTGGTGCGAGAGGGAGGGCCGTGGCTCCAGGACCCCCCGCCGGTCGAGCAGGGGATGGGCGGCAGAATCGGTTTGCCCCAGAGTTGAGCTCCTCGTGCTCGCAGATCTTCGAACATACTTCAGGAGGGGAAAAAACACACAGACACAATGAATCGTCGATTCCCAGGAAAATATGGAAAAATATTGGAAGTGGGGGGGAAGACAAAGACCTAGAAAATATAGGAAACTATGGGGAATCCTTTGATTTGTGTGTAGTTATTTGTGTATGTGTGTCTCAGGGCCCCTTCAATGCTATGCAGATCTCTTCGTGGATTCGGCGCGCAGTTCAGTTCTGGGAGGAGTGCCAATTCCGTAGCAGATCCTCTTGTTCCAGGTTCAGGCATGGCCCGATGTGGGCGTCGCCGTGGAGGTGGCCTGCTCGCGTCGCCTGCCCGACAGCGGCCGCTGACGGTTTGAGACTACGTTTGCTGCCATCCGCCACCAAAGCAAAACACAGACACCCTCCAATGGATTTCCGCCACCAAAGCAAAACACAGACACCCTCCAATGGATTGTTCCTGGGCCTCAGGGAAGGATGGCGGTGTAGAGATCACCACCGAGGGCCAGCGGCTTTCTACACCGCCGCCCCCCCCCTGAATGCACAGGCAAAGTTCGTCGGAGGGCGTCTGTGTGTACGTTTCCTCGGCGTGTGTCAGGCATCGTGCCCATGTTTTACGTGCCGTTTCGGACGTGCCAATTTTGGAACCAATTTCCTCCTCCTCCTCCTCCTCCTCCTCCTCCTCCTCCTCCTCTCCGCCTTGCGCACAAGGCCGCCCGAGAGGGGGGGAAGAGGAGGAGGAGGAGGAGGAGGAGGAGGAGGAGGAGGAGGAGGAGAGGAGGAGGAGGAGGAGGAGGAGGAGATGAAGGAGGAGGAGGAGGCGGAGGAGGAGGAGGAGGAGAACGTGCCCGAGAGGGCGCCTTGTGCGCTGGCCGGATCTTCCTGGCCTTCGCCCGGTGTCCGCGTGGTGCGATGGTTAGGTCGTCTTCCAGGATGTCGGAGGGAACATGAGGAGGAGGAGGACGAGGACGAGGACGAGCAGGAGGAGGAGGCGGAGGAGGAGGAGGAGGAGGAGGCGGAGGAGGAGGAGGAGGAGGGAGGGAGGAGGAGGAGGGAGGAGCAGGAGGAGAAGGCGGAGGAGCAGGAGCAGGAGGCGGAGGAGGAGGAGGAGGAGGAGGAGGAGGAGCCTGGGCTCGCGGGGCGAGCCTCCTTTGTCGACAGCACCCGCGCCGGTGGCGTCCTGCCGCCCGGCGCCACCGCGCCAGGGCAAGAGGCGCCGAGCCACCAGGGGGCCCACCTCCAGCGAGGAGGTCCACGATGCCGCCCCGAACTGGATGCTGGGGACGTCTCCAGCGAGAGAGGGGGGAGGCCACACCACCAGGGAGACTCCCCTTGCCGCCTCGCACCTCCTCGCCCTGCTGGCGTTGGTGTCGCCTTTCCTTGTTCCCATTTGCAGCCCACAATTCACGTGATGAGTTATCGAGGGAGGCTATCCGGGATATCCGTAAGGTCTTCGCCGTCTGCCCGCCGGCCCTTTCGCGCCTCAGAATGGGCGATGCCAGAGCTACGCTCGGACGTGTCAGCGCTGTTCTGAAAACTCCTGGGAGCACCAGGCGAGGGCGATTGGCATTCAGCACGCACCTTGAGATGTTGGACTTGTTGCTGACCTTTTTTTTCTCTCGGAGCGCGAGTCGAAGGTTGTTTACGGGGCATCGTGGCCTCGGGAGCTCGAGCATGGTGAAGATTTACAGAGGGCCGTGCCTCTGAGATCCAGAGTTTGGTGTAATCTGCATGGGATTCTGGCCCAGGGAGCCCGAAGACGGCATCATTTTCAATGCAGGTTGGTAGCGTGATTTGCAAAGGGGGTTCTGGCCTCGAGCGCGAACCTGGTGTAATCTACATTGATCAGGAGGGGAAAAAACACACAGACACAATTAATCGTCGACCCCCCAGGAAAATAAAGGAAAATATTGGAAGTGGGGGGGAAGACAGAAACCCAGAAATTATCGGAAAATATACGGGTATTTTTATTTGTGTTTATTTATTGGTGTCCTGGGGCCCCTTCAAGTGATGATTCTGGCCTCGGGCGCGCGAATCTGGTGCTGTAATTTACACTGAGTTCCGGCCTCGGGAGCGCGATCCTGGCGGACGTTGCGAGGGACCTGGCTCTGGGAGTGCGGTATTTGAGTAAGCGACAAGTCAGGAGGGGAAAAAACACAAACACAATTCATCGTCGATTCCCCAGAGAATATGGGAAAATATGGGAAGTGGGGGGGAAGACGAAAACCAGGAAAATATGGGAACATACGGGGAATATTTTGATTTGTGTGTATTTATTTGTGTGTCCCGGGGCCCCTTCAACAAGGGGCTCCCGCACGATTTATCAAGATTCTGGCCTCGGGAGCGCGAACCTCAAGCATTCTGCAACGGATTCTGGCCTCGGGCGCGCGAACCGGGCGCCGAGAATCATGGGCTTTGTGGCTTTGGGAGCGTGAGCTTGGCAAACGCTACTACAACGGACTCTGGCCTCGGCAGCGCGACCCGGGCGTCATCTGCTGCCACGGAGGCCGGCCTCGGAGTCGTGAAGCTGGTAAAGTAAAGTTGGCGGTGGATTTCGGCATCGGGAGTCAGGAGCGACAAAAGAACGTACACGTACATGAATCCACGCTGGTTTCGAGAGTTCGCATTGCGCGAATGTTCGTATCACGCGGCCGGTCTCGATTTTCAAGGGACCGTGCTCATGTACATAGCTGGGCGCGTACGTCCTTTGTGGGCTCCCTAGGGAGGGCGGGTATTTTGTAGTGTGCGAGGGGTTCTGGCCCCAGGATCGCCGGCGACGCTGGTGCAACTCTCTACGGATGCTGGCCTCCGGAGCGAGTGTCTGGCGTAATTCATGTGGTATTCGGCGATTTTGGGGCAATTCACAAAGAGGGTGTTGGCATCGGGAGGGCGCAGTTGTTGTACGTTTACGTGTCCGAGGCCCCCACAGAAGTTCAGGCAGCGAGATTCGGGGTTGGCATCCTGGGTGGCCTTCGCCCCTCCCCGTCAGGCGGGCAGGAACCGCGCACAGCCGGGATCGTAGAATCCGAACCGTGGAACCCGGAGATTGGTAGCCGCTGACGCTCACGCCGCGCCGTACATTTAAGTCGGGCCTGTCCCCCTACAATGGGATTTTCGACGAAAAAAAAGAAGACCCCCAAAATACACCAAAAAGGCAACAAAGACAAAAAAATAGTCCCCAGAGCATTTTTGGAGTATTTCTGGACTATGTTGGGGATATTTTTTATTTTTCGTCGAAAATCCCCCTGCAGGGGGACAGGCCCGACTTAACCGTACACGCGCAGGAGGCGCCGAAGCCCCAGATGCCTCGCCCGGCGCCCACGCTTTTGCTAGGAGCGAGGAAGTCTCCCCGCGAGCCGTTTCCGCCTGGTGGTGTTACCGAGGATGTAGTTTTGTAGGGCGGCGGGGTCGATCGGGGGTGGACAGAACCCCCAACAGTGACACGTCGATTAGTGAATTGACCGTTTTTCTGTGCTCGAGAGGGCGCCGTGGCCGTTATTTTCCAGGCTCGCGCCCGCCAGGTTTGCGCCTCAGGTCGTTTTCACTAAACCACGTTTTGCTAAAGGGGGGTCTGTCCATCCCCGAGTCGAGGGGAAAAGGGGTGGGGATGGCGGAGTGAATGCGGGGAGGTGGGATAAAGAGCATGAAGGGGGAGAGAAAGGGAGCAGGCAGAAGCAGAACGCAAGAGGGGAGAGGAGGAGGACGAGGAGGAGGAGGAGAAGAAAAGGGAGGAGGAGGAGGAGGAGGAGGAGGAGGAGGTGGAAGAGGAGGGCGACGGTGACCAGGACGAGAACAAGGGAGAGGGGGAGGAGGAAAAGGTCGGAGGAGTAAGGAGGGAACCTGAGGAGGGGGAGGAGGAGGAGGAGGAGGAGGAGGAGGAGGAGGAGGAGGAGGAGGAGGAGGAGGAGGAGGAGGAGTGTGTGGAAAGCGGGGAATAGGACAGAAGAGGGAGAGCGCTCACTATACAAAATTAGGAAGGAGTATGAGTCGGGGGGACAGGGAAAGGAGAGGGAAGACAAAGAGGAGGGACGATGGAGGAGAGGAGGGACGAGTGGTGGAGGGTGGAAGTGAGGAAAGGAGGGATGAGGGAGAGCAGGGGAGAGGAGGAGGAGGAGGATGAGGAGGAGGAGGAGGCGGATTGCCTAAAACTCGATGTAATCCTTTTTCACAGTCGTTCGCTCCCTCTCCATCTCCTCCTTCTTGTCCCTCCTCCATGCGGCTCTCCGGGGGCCTCTGGTGCAGCCTGGCGGCTTCTCAGGGCTGCACGAGATAGAGAGAGAGAGAGAGAGAAACACAAAAAACAATAACTTCCAGAATGTGTGATCCTCGATCCTCCGCCCGCCTCCCTCCCTCATTCCTTCCCTCCTTCGCTCACTTGCCCCCCTCGGGAGGAGGTGGAGGCTCGGCAGTCGAAGGGCGGGGGGGCGGCCCCTGCGCAGGGGCTGACGCCTCCGATGCTGCTGGGGCAGTGGTTCAACAACATGGCGGTGCCCAGCGCCTTCGGCCGCGAGGGGGACAGGGGGAGGAGGGGGAGGAGGACCAGGAGGAGGAGGAGGAAACGGAGGAGGAAAAGGAGGAGGAGGAGGAGGAGGAGGAGGAGGAGGAGGAGAAGGAGGAGGAGAAGGAGGAGGACGTGGAGGATAACACGGTCCAACCACTGCTGCCCCGCCCCCCCCCCCTTCTCATGATTCTCTGTTCCCAGCCGTATTGCATCAAAGATCAAGCGCTCACATTTAACCGTGCGCATGGCGTCTGACGCTTGCATGCTGCGCGCACCCTTCTCATCATCGCCTCAAAATTTCGCTCGTCCGACAGGCGTCTAACGCCAAATGTGTGTCACGTCTGACAAACGTCTGACGTCGGAGGGCTTGTCAGACGTTTCATCACCATTCACAACCGCCCCCCCTCCCAAACCTTGACGGAAGAGGAGAAGAAGGAGGAGGAGGAAGAGGAGGAGGAGGATGAGGAGGAGAGGAGAGAAGGAGCCATAGGAGGAGGAGGAGCAGGAGTAGGATGAGGATGAGGAGGAGGAGGAGGAGGAGCAGGAGGGAGGAGGAGGAGGAGGAGGAGGAGGGATGAGGAGAGCAGGAGGAGGAGGAGGAGGAGGAGGAGGAGGAAGAGGAGGAGAAGTAGGAGGAGGAGGACTGCCTATCTACTCGAGTGCTTGGGCCTGGGCTGCACGCGCTGGCGACGCGCGCCCATTCTCGCGGCGGCTCGCGCCCTGCCCTGGCTGCACCTCGTCCGTGCCCTCTCTGCACCCGCTAGATCCTCCGTTCCCCGCCCCCTCCCTGGACCCTCCTTGTGCCCCCCTGGCCGCAAGGCGCTACGGCTGCGGCTCGCGGTGCGCCCGGGCGCGCCGGATGAAGTAGTTGCATTTCCTTCGCCCGCCCCCTCCCTCTCCTCCCCCTCTCTCTGCCACAGGGCGCTCCGAGGATGGTAAAATCAAAAAGTGCCCCCCTCCCTGCCCCCGCCCCTCCCCGCCCTCGATCTCCGTCCACTGCGCCCCCCCCCCTTGCTGCGGCGGCAGGGCACGCGCGGCCGTCCACAGGGGACATGGAGTCCGACCCAGATGATGATGATGATGATGATGATGATGATGATGATGATGATGATGCTGATGATGATGATGATGATTATGATGATGATGATACTGATCATCATCATCATCATCATCATCATCATCATGATGTTGATGTTGATGATGCTGATGCTGATGCTGATGCTGATGCTGATGATGATGCTGCCGATGATGATGGTGATGCTGCTGCTGATGATGATGGTGGTGGTGGTGGTGGTGATGATGATAATGGTGGTGGTGGTGATGATGGTAATGATGGTGGGTTTGGTGATGGTGATTGCGATCATCGTGGTGACGATGGTGATGATGGTGATGATGATGATGATGGTGACAGTAATAGTGATAGTGTTAGTCTTGCTGCTGATTATGATGTTGACGGTCCTGGTCATGATACTCATGGTGATGATGAGGATGATGATGATGATGATGATGATGATGGTGTTGGTGACGGCGATAACGATTACGATGGCGATGGTGATGACGAGGATGCGGATGGGGAGCGCAATGTTTGTATTGCAGTGATGGTGATGTTGATGACGATGGTGGCAACGACGACGCTGTTGACGATGATGTTGATGATGATGGTTGTGCTCATGATTCGGATGATGCGAAGGATGCGTATGATGACGATGGCGATGGTTTGAAAGAGTATGATGTTTATGGTGATGCTGATGGCGGTGATGGTGATGATGGTGATGACGCTGATGACGACGCTGGCGATAGTGGTGGCGGCTGTGGTGATGATGAGACTGTTGATGAGGAGGATCAGGTGATGATGAGGAGGACCGGGTGATGATGACGAGGATCGGGGGATGATTTTGGTAATGATGCGGATGCTGATGAGGATAAATTTGGTATTGCTCATGTGTAAGTCAGACGATTTCGATGGAGGCCAGGAGTCGTCGCTTTAGGAGTCCAGCGCGGCCTGCGAAGTCACCTCCTACTGGCGCTTTCGCGCCGAAAGCCCGTGTGCGGAGAAGGCAGGCCGGGTGCCAACCAGGGGGAGCTGACGGAGAAGCAAATGCAGACGGTATCTTTGTGGGGACACAGCGACCACAGCCACATTTAAGACGCACCTTGCGGGAGGTCCTGGCCGTGCCAGCAATCGTCAGAACACCACAGCCAGCTTGATAGCACGCATTAGATATTGGCGTGTTTTTGATGTTTCCGAAGGCCACGGTACCGCCTGTCTCCTACTTGCTAGATGTTTCGCCTCCCGCCTACTTTGCCTCCTTCCCTACTCATGCTTTACTTTCTTCCTGTCATCCATCTCATACGTTTTCAGACGCCAGCCTGCCATCTTCTCCCATGCTCGGCAACTATTCATCAGGTAATTGACATTCTCGAACGCAACGTATGCATCTGACAGGTGTCTGACGTGTGATATTTGTCACATGGCGTCCTCCTTGTCCTTCTCCCCTTTCACTCCTTCCACAGGCGTTCGCGATCGGTCTCGGTCGGTCGCGGGGCGAGTTGGAAAGTCGCAGCCGCGACCGATCGCGACCGATTTTGACTTCCCATCAGTCGCTACCGATCGCGACCAAGCGAAATCGGTATCGGATGGCCAGGGGCCGGGATAACTTGACGTGGTTGGTTGTGCTGGTCCGATCGAAAGGGGTGTGCACTACAGTCGGGGCACTGAGGAAGGAACCCTTTTCGTTGGGGAGGGGCTCGGTGTTCCTTAGTTGTTCTGCAGTTCGCCTTTGGTTTTCCTTGGGGTTTCGATGGGAAATCGAAGTTTAACTTATGGAAAAGAGGGGCCTCGTTCCTTATTTTGGGTTCCTTAGGTCAACGCCCCGACTGTACTGGTGCGCGCGTGCATACGTCGGCGAAAAGGTCAAGTTATCGGGCGGCACTCCCCCCCTGCCGACCGGAGAACCCGGGCTGGCGCCGACTGACAAACGAGTTCCTAAGGCCTACGGGGTCCTCGCTGAGAGTCGTGTCTATTCACAGGTTCGCCTGTCCCGCCGCCCCTGCACACCTTGAGCTCCGGCGTTGCGGAAAGCATGGAACATCACGAGAGACCACGCCCGCGCAGTCCCAGACACAATTTTTCCTCAAGCCGCATCGATGCTTGAGGGTCCCAGGGCCCGAAACAGGACGACACATCGCCCGGCGTGAAACAATTGCGACGCCAGGATCCAGGTGAACAAGCAATGGTATTAAGACAGCAAATCACAGGTCCGCGCGGAGTCCCGAGATTCTATGATTATGCCAGTGTGTGTTCCCCTTTCGTTGAGGGTCGTTGACGGTCCTCTTGTTGCTTCCTCCGGGGGGGCGGCCGGGCCGGACAGGCTCCAACGGTGTGAAACGATGGCAACTCCAGTATCTCAGGACGGGTTTGTCGTTGAGCCCAGACATCCGATGCCGCGAGCTTCTCAGTGTGGGGTCCCCGGAGGTCTGGACCTTTTCCCTGGGGCGGGTTTTTGCGTCCCGAGCCGTCTTTGGATGGTCCTGGGGCTCAGCGGGGGCCCCCAGAAGCCGAAGACTGCGTACGGAACACCTCCCCGAGTTTCTCTTGACCCTGCGATCGGACGTAGCGAAAAAAATGCAGCATCGTGCAAATCACGCCCGGAACCTTAGACCCCATATTTCTGCATCATTTTTCTAGGCGGATCCATTTGTGAGGGCCCCTGCCCCCCCCCCAGAAAAAAAAAAACGACAACGCCCAGCTCGACAAAATGGAGGCGCCACGATCTCGGGGACGCTGAAGGTCTGGGAGGCTCCTCCTCCCCCTCCTCCTCCTCCTCCTCCTCCTCCTCCTCCTCCTCCTCCTCCTCCTCCTCCTCCTCCTCCTCCTCCCCCTTCTCTCCTCCTCCCCCTCCTCCTCCTCCTCCTCCTCCTCCTCCTCCTCCTCCTCCTCCAGGTACCCTGGCTGAGGTACCGTCCATTCTCCGTACCGAATGACCCCATCTTGCGGGCTCGCCGCCTGCGCACTCTTCCCGTCCCCTGTTCTCTCTGCCACCCCCCCCACTATCCCACATGGCATGGAGCTTTGTTGTACACAATGTGTGCTCGCTCGTGCAATATGGTAGGGCGGATGATGTCAGTGCAGCGTACGACACGAAGGACATACAATTCATCGTGGGCACCAGGCTCAGACGCAGATACACGGACGACACATGCACGAGTATCATGGACCGCACGCACCACATCCTCAATTGGGGTTACGGCCGGTCCCCGTTCACGACAGCGCATGCAGGAGTGCAGATTAGGTTGCGCAAAAGATCTCTTCGTGTTTCCCATATTCTAGCAGTGTATTCGCCACCTGCGGCCTTACAAGGCAGACTGGGGGCGGTCTTGTTGCGCTCGGGACGCTTCCATTTATTGTGCTTCGTAGTCTACTTTCCACCGCGGCCTTCGACTGCGCGACGCAATCTAGTATATAATAAGACGGTGGACGCCATGATCGAATGGATGCGCAAGATCAGCTGCGAGCAACCCAGTAGGTGCTCAATTATCTTCGGTGGAGATGTAAATGATCATTCAGGCATCCCTCCTCCCGATCATGTAGTTGACGCTATGAACCCGATAGGCCCGCTTAACCCTGCACAGGAACACTACTGCATGCACAAACTCCGTGGCTACATGGAAGACTTCGGCCTCTGTCTCGTCAATACGTATATAGGTGGACAGGCGACCTTCTATGGACGGCAGTCTCAAAGCAGAATAGATTATTTTGGCGCTCCCTATTCTTGGTTGTCTCATGTTCGCAAATGCCGTATTCTAGAAAAACAGGGTCGAGCACTTCAACTTGTTCCGATTCGTCAGCGATGGGACCACTACCCGCTTCTTGTACAGGTAGACTACATCCTTTCATTCCCGCATTCGCACAGGAGGAAGAAGGAGGAGAGGTGGGACATGGACAGGATGGTGGAAGGAGTGGTGAAGGGGCTCTGGCGGGGGCGGTTCTTGAAAGAGGTGG